ATAGAACACAAGATTTCGCCAATGAGGATTTTTGAGCGTAATTTTTGCGTGACGTCATCTTGGTGCAATTGCGAGAGAGAAATGCCAAAACTCATATAAAAATATGTAAACAACGCAGAAAAATGTGTTAATTTTAATATTTTAATTTAGGTAAGTACGATTTTTAGCACATGAAAAAATGGATGTATTGACAGTGTTTGCAATTTCATGTAGACCAAAAGGAAGATGTGCAGCAAAGTGACTTTTTGGACTAGCCATTGTAAACAGCCATGCATAGTGCATATTTAAATTTGTGGACAGTAGCCAACCACCATAAACTCCACAGCTTTTATTTGATGACTTTTGTACCATTTCCGAGAGGATGCATGAGTGTGGCTTCTTTGGAAACACATATTCTATGTAAGTAAAACATAATTTAAGCTGAACTTTTAAATTTATAATAATTTGGGCACTGTTTTGTATTAGGTACGTAACAGCGCGGTAAGATGCCGCTTGAATTAGCGCCTGTCAACCTTATCCACTGGTGCATTACCTCATACCAGCACTAAAAAGAATCAGGTACTAACAAAAATAAGTAGGTACTGAAGTTCATGTATCTATTTACTGAAGAAACTGCTTTTGTATGTATGCAATTGCCAACAAACTAAACCAGCAACTGTCTACATTCACCATGGAAATATACCTACTAAAATTCACCAAGGAAGACCAACATAGTTCCATGTAGAAGCCCATAGCTCACACACATGATTCAATAATACAAGGTTCGATAAACTGACAGTTGTCTCTCTCGCACCGCTCCCTTAGCAGTGGCACCGTGTTGCTTCTTTGCAAATTTACTTGGAAAAAGTGTAGCTTTGCTGTGAAATAGAAGTATAAGCTTTTGTGCAATATGTTTGTTTGTATATGCATATGAAGCACATTTAACTGATGAAAACACAAATTGTTTTTAAATTGGATGTTTACTTACCTCTCATAGTAGTTTTATTTTAATTTTGAGTCCTTTTGCAGTTTTTATACATCTAAATAACACATATATTACATAATTCACGTAGATATATTAATATTTCGTTTAATATTTCGTTTAAAATGCCAGATTTCCATTTTCGCAATAAGGGATTTCATTCTTGCCCTTTCTCTGTCCTTCGTAAATGCAACCATTTGTAAGGGAGTGTCAAACCGCGGCTGTCAATAATTATCTAACCTTGAATTATTGAATCATGGCTCACAAACATAGCACAAAGCTCGATTTGGTGTTTAATGCATCTCCTCGCCGGCAGAACTGCTTCCACTTTTTCGCCAGGTTTGCTTCCGTAGGAAACGAAAAAAAAACTTATATTGCACGCTTTCCTTTTGGTTTCACTATTCCACTTTGCCACTGCACACTTCATTTTGCTTTGTTATGTCTCAATAATTGTTTAAAATCACGCAGAAATTTTAACGCACATATATTAGAATTGTTATTCGGTTTTTTCGTATGCTCACAATCAACAATTGCACCAAGATGTCGTCACGCACACAGCTGATTCAGTCAAAATCACAAAGAGCGGATTAGCGGTACCGCGATTGGCGCAATCTCTATTTCTCTCAATCGTGTCCAATGTATATGTATCTGTGTAAATACCATTCATCATTAAACATATAGTTCTGCTATGTAACGGAGTTTTATTTATTTTCAGTTCCTACATTATTAAATTTTATTATTCGGAGTTAAGAATTCCCAGAAGATGATTAACTTGTGATTTTAAAAAAAATTTAACCCAATACGGAATACACAATGAGTACCGATACGAGTAGATATCGATACTTTAGGTCCGGTATTTTTCAGGCATCGATACATTTTGTCGATACTACTTCCAAGTAAAAGTATCGATACCTGCATGATATCGTTACATCCCTATAAATGAATTCAAATGCAGCTGTCCACATAATTAAAGTTTGGCAACGCTGACGCCAACACAACGCAGAAAGATGGCCAACTCTCAACTTTTCGCGTGCGTCGTTCGTCAGCTCTTGCAGATAATTAAAACTATGTGATATATTTTTACTTTTATTATCAAATGCGGGCAAGAAATACCGTTTTTATGCAATTATTGATATAAAATATTAATTTATCTGTCAATAGTATATTAATTTAGTGGCCAAATTATTCGCTGCCAAGCGCTCATTGTAGCAAGCACTGACGTTACTCGCGATGCTGTCAAAGCGACGCCTACGCCAACGCAACGCCAAAGTTGTATGTAGATTGGCCTCAACAATAGCATATGCACATAGTACTTAATTAAGAATTAAGTTTAAGTTTAAGTTAAATGTCTACAGTTGTGACTAGCAACAAATTTTTTAAGGTTGATAAAAAATACGATCCTTTACCAAAGTTATATTTTTGGGTATGTATAATTTAACCACAGGATGGAACAAAGAACTCTTTCCATTGCATATTATATAGATACTTTAGCAAATATAAATATGCGGATTTCTAAAATATAAAAAAGTTAGAGCACAAATATATTTAAAGTCAAATTCATGATGTACCGTTTTAAAAATTTATTGATTATTTTTTATATTTCTTATAAGAATTGAATTGAAATTTTAGCATTATGTGAAAATTTTAAACAAATGTTCTGTCTAAAAAGTGGTAGGTTTTAAGTCTTGTGTGGTAGATGTGGTATGCGGCAGTCCTACCACATATGTGGTAGAGGTTTGCACACTGCTGAAAATAATTTTGGTTAATTTTGGTTTTCGTTGTTTTCTTTGATTTGTTTACTTTTCATTCGTTTCCCAGCGAAACAAGGTGGTGTAGAAGCCGCTCTCAAATCCGACTTGTTTCACTCTCCTGTTCTTGCGTGATCTTGTGTCGTTCGTTCATGTTAGAGCTGGGACACTATCGAAGGTAATATCGATAATATCGATAGTTAAAAACTGTCGCCATTATCGATAGTTTTTAAAAGCTATCGATTTCGGTTTTAGCGAAACTTCTCTCTTTACATCTCTTAACATTACATTAATTTTTTTTTCAAGAAAATCACAATAGCAACTATAAGCTTACACTAAGTTATAGCAAAATTTATTAAGCTATAAAAGCGCTTACACAAAATTTTTATAGAAATTCGAATTAAAAAGCTTGAAATTTTAATGATTTTGTAGTTTTTTTATTTTCGTACAACTTTAGACACTAAACAAACAAAAAATAGTCAAAACTGCTGAAATGTTGTGGTGCTATTATTTTGACCAGTACTTTATTCGTTTTCTTATAATATGGTAAAATGTTAATAATAGTGGTATTCATCTAAACCGATAACTTTATCAAGCAGATAATCTTATAAGTTTATGCACTCTGTTACATGAACGACCCACACTCTCTTTTCGTTTACACATGCGACAATAGTCGTGGTAGATTGTTGGCTTTTCAACACCGGAATTTTGCAATTAAATACAGAATTTCGCGAAAATTTACACTTACTTTGAGTTCATTTACTCCATTTATTTGCATCAAATTCATCAAAACATAGTGCGAAAAGTGCAAGTGCTTTGCAAATAACTCTTTAATGAATTAAAAATATTAATTTCCGATCTCGGATTATTATTACTGGCATCAAGACGCGTCTCCACTCTCGATTTTTTCCGTCCATTTTGACCTTGTTCCGCTAAAGTGCACTACTACCAGTTTTTTTTATAATAAGCTATACATTTATAAAATATTAATATACATTAAGCAGTCAAAAGTTGCCAAAATGTCGGGACCCTAGTAATTTGTCCGACAGTATAAGTATTACATTTTTATTTTGTTTGTTTTAAATCTACCACATTTTCCTCCAGATTCTACCACACAAAATTTAATTTTTTTACGGATCACTGCTCGCAGCGTGCAAATAGCATGCGTTAATGCATCCATTCGGTACTGAGTACCCATAAAGGAATTTTGGGTATCTAATTCCATTAGTATTGAGTACCCATGATGCAATAATACAAGGTGGTATCAGTTGTGACAACTCGATTTGACACTGCCTTAGATCAGTAAAATAAGAAGAAAAACGGGAAGAAATGAATCCCCATTTGGGGGAAATATATCAATTTTCATATTTTCTTCTAAACAAAATTTGCTTTTTTATAGTATATTCGCAATGAAATTAAATAAAATAAGATATAAAACCTCTTTGAGAAAACAAAATGTGTATACTGAGAAAAAATACAAAAAAAAATTCAATCATATTATTAGGCAAAGAATTGTTAAAGAAGTAACACTGTTTCAGCTAAGGCAGTCAATATGGCGGAATTAGAGCGAGAAGTTGCCAACTGATAAAGGCTGATTCGCATACAACTTTCTTCGCTTTGCTTGATAGTTCTTTGCTTTGACATATAATAGGGCATTCGCACGAGGCGATTTTACAGGCAACAAAAGTTGAATACGTAGTTGAATGAGAAGTTGAAAGTGAAAAAGTTGCCATCCCTATTCAGACGAGGCGATTTTGGATTCAACACGAATCGTTATTTACATTATCGAAAATGAATTTAAATCGCAAAATTTTATCAATTGGCGTAAATTTGGTAAGCCAAGCGTTGGTAGAAGTGCTTTTAGCGAAGCTGAAAGATAAAATAAGAGTAAAAAAGTCAAAAAGAATAAAAGTATGTATACAGAACAGTGTTGGCATTTTTGGTACAATTGTACTTGTTTGATACAATTTCCTTTACAATATACTTTCCTACTACGCAGTACTTTTTAGTAAAATTTTGTAATGAATACTAAAAATATATAGCTCTGAAAATTCAGTTCGCCTGTCCGTAAGTTTTGAAAAATGGCTTGAACGAACCAGTATAACATAGCCTAGCCAAATTTTTAAAGAAACTTTTCGATACTAAGTTTTATTAAAACAAAATGTCAAAGTCAGCTTCATATAGAAACAAAGTCTTCGTTAGTTATAAGAAGAGATTTTCTTAAATATAATACCTTTACATATTGACAAGGTTTTACTATTTATTTTATTATTCTTTATTATTATTATTATTATTATTATTATTATTTAGATGCTGGTATGAATACCAGCACTAAATGATCTATTTGAGCATTGGCTGCCGAGACCATCAGCTCTGAATTGACTGTTGTTTAAGGTTGTGTTTATTAGATTGTCATTTCTATGTCTTTGATAAATTTGGCGATTTTTTCAATATTAGCAAAGCTAGGGGTAGCTAGGACGTCGTTTATATTCTCTGTGTTAAATATTGCTTTTTTTGTGTTGTAGTATTTTTGGCAATTGTTGAGGATGTGGTCTAATGTTTGGATTGTGTTACAGGTGATGCAGATTGGTTGATTTTCCTTTTTCAAGATATATTCGTGGGTTTGTGTGGTGTGCCCGAGACGCAATCGTGAAAAGATTCTGGTTTTGAAACCATGTATATTTGTTGGGTATTGTGGAGGAGTACCATCTTTGTTAATGTTAGTATAGTGATAATGTTTGTGGCTGCTACGCAGTTGGCGTGTTTCGTGTATTATAAGCGTTTTGATATGGCGTTTTATATCAAGCTTTTCGATTTTTGGGGTGCGTATTATTGGTGCATTGCAAGCAAATTTTGCAGCTTCATCGGCGTAGGTGTTACCGTCAATTTCTGCGTGTCCTGGAACCCATAGGAGCTTAAGCGTTTTCTTGTTCTTTATTAACATATCTCTTATTTGATTAATTGTTTCCCAATTGTTACAGATTGGATTTCTAACTGCTTGTAACACCGAAAGACTGTCTGAACATATCACAGTTTTTGTTTTTTTGTGAAGGGAAAATACTATAGCTTCGTGTATAGCTGCTGCTTCTGCCGAGAAGACTGAAGAGAAAGGGAACATTGATTTCATGCTAATGCAGGAGCCTGTTTCCGATGTTATACTGAAAGCAACGCTATTTTGTGTTTTAGACCCATCAGTAAAGATAATTTGCCAGCCGCTCTTATTGTAAGTGTTCGCCTTTTCGAGGAAGATTTGTTTGAATATTGAATTTGGGGTGTTATCTTTTTTGTGGGTGTGTAGTGTAATATCGCAACATTGGCTGTCAAGAGTCCACGGTGGGTTGTAACTTCGTAGTCTATGTGGTTTTACTTCCAAGTTGTACTTGTTGCATAGTTTGATAATTCGGAGCAATGAAGGAGTAACGTTGAATGTTCGTTTGGATAGTACCAGTTTTTTTACGTCTTCGGATATTATAGATGTATTTAAAAATAAAACTTTTGGTATTAAGCTAGTGTTGACATTCTGTATATGTTCCTCTAGTGTGGGCAAGCCAGATTCAATGAAGAGGTTATTTGTCGTGGTGGTGCGAAAAGCGAATAGGCTGGTTCTGATCGCCTTGTGGTACATTGGCTTTATAATGTTTAGAGTTGTTTTCGGAGCGGATCCGTATAAGCAAAGTCCGTAATCGATTTTGGCCAGGATTATAGTTTTTGTGATGTGTATGAGTGTGTTTATGTGGACATATCCTTTATATGACAAATACGATATTAAACTAAGTCTGGAGAGTAGATCCCTCTTTAGTTTTAAAAGATGCCGTTTCCATGTGTAGTTTTTTGTGAATATTAAACCTAGTATTCGCAGTTCATCCACATTCTCGATAGTTTGTTGCTTCAATTCTATTGAGTGACTATTGGAATCGCATTTTAGTTTTTTACAAATATGAAGTTTTTTTGTTTTTTCGAGGGAAATTTTCGCACCTGATCTTAAGGTCCAGTCATCAATTTCTTTCAGAATATTTCTTAAAATTTTATTTGACTCGCTATTGTTCTTTTCGTTGCACAGTATAAATAAATCGTCGGCATAGATACAGTGGTTAACAAGCTTGTGTTTCTGTATTATAGTGCTTATTTCGTTAAACGCGATTGAAAAGAGGAGTACTGAAAGCGGCGATCCTTGGGGAATACCATTCGTTAAAGGATATAATTTGGAGTAAATACCGTTTACCCTGACTCGAATTTTTCTATTTTGGAGGAATGATTTTACAAAATTGAAGATCTTGGGTCCAACTCCCCACTGATGTAGTTTCTCTAGAATGACGTGAGCTCCTATTCTGTCGAACGCTTTTTCGAAGTCTAGTGATAATATTGAAATGTGGTTATGGGCTGATAGCGTTTTTGCCACATTGTAGTCGATGTGTAGCAGGGCATCCGTACATCCCCTTCCTGGTCGAAAACCGACCTGGTTGGATGAGATGAGCCTTTTTGCCTCTGTAAACCAGACTAGACGTGTCGCGACTATTTTCTCTACTAATTTCGACAGGCACGAAATTAGCGAGATGGGTCTGTAGGATCCGAGAAGGTTGAGGTCTTTCTGAGGTTTTGGGAGAGGGATGATGGTTGCCGCTTTCCAGTTTTGGGGAATAATGCCTGATTGGAAAATATTATTGTACAGTGTCAAAAGTCTCGTTTTTGTGGATAAGTTCAAGTGTTTAATCATGCTGTATGAGATGCGATCAAAACCTGGTGTTTTTCCTTTAGTACTTTTTAGGGTGGAATACATTTCATCCATGGAAATATGCACTTCCATTTTCATTGCTGTTGGATTAGTTGTTTGGTTTGGCGATATATTTGATTTTTTTGCCTGGTTGAATTGATTAGGAAAATTGTTGTCGTTCGAGCATTGAGACCAGTTGTGAGCAAAGAGGTGGGCTATTGTTCGCGTTTCCGTTGTTGTTCCTTGTGGTGTTTGAATTGCTGCTATTGACGTTTGTGTATTTTGATTTGTTAGCCTCCGCACTTTGTTCCATAATTCCTGCGATGATGAGTTTATGTTTATGCTTTTTGCAAATTTTCGAAGCTAGATTTTTTTGTTTGCTTCATTTCCCTGCGGAAGATAGCATTACGTTTTTTGTATTCAAGAAGATTCTGTTCTGTTGGAGATTTTCGAAAAAGATGCCATGCTGTCATTTTTTGGTTGCGGAGATTTGCTAAAGTCTGGTTCCACCAGGGGACATGGGTTCTGGTCTTCTGAGAGGATTGAGGGATCCAAAGGTTGGCTGCTACACGAATTGCCTTTGTAATATTATTTGCTTCTTGATTAATGTTTACAGAAATCGGTCTCTCCGAAAGTTCCTCTTCGACGGATTGACTGAATTTTGCCCAATCAGCAAAGTTGAGTAGGAATTTCTTTTCAGTGTGGTGTTTTTCGGTGTTGTGTGTCAAATTGATTGTGGTGATTATCGGGAAATGGTCGCTGTGATAAAGATCCTCTAAGATATTCCATTTGATGATCGGGAGCAAGCTAGCTGAGCAGCATGTAATGTCTACATGGGTCAGTGTCCCGTGCGTTGAAAAGTGGGTTGGTCTACCGTCGTTTATTAAGAAAAGGTCCGATTGGTTGATTATGTGTTCTATTATTTTTCCTCGATTGTTGTATGTTGGGGAACCCCACAAAGGATTCCAGCTGTTAAAATCTCCTAAAAATATTATTGGTGTTTGAATTAAGGCGAGTGTATCCATTATTTCTTTGGTAGGAATCTGTAAGTTTGGTGGAAAATAGCATGATATTATTGTAAATTTTATATTAAGGTTGACTTCGATCGCTATTATTTGTAGGTCGGTGTTTAATGAAATTATTTTGTGGGGAATATTAGCTTTAATAAGCACCCCTATTCCTTGTTTGGCTGTTGTAATTGTTGATGAGTTTAGAAAATGGCTTAAGTATCCTTTTGGGGGATATGGGTTGAAGTTGTGTTTGCAATGTGTTTCTTGCAGTGATATGAAGGGTGGATTTTCTTCTTTAATTAAGAGGTTAAGCTCATTGATGCTGTTAAAGAATCCTTTTATATTCCACTGTAATATTTTGAAATTCATGTTTTATTTATTAGTTTATATGCTTTGTTGTATTTATTTGTTATTTGCCGTTATTTGTTTATTGATTAATTATAATTTAGGTTCTTCTTCGGAGTCAGTAAGGGCCATATAATATTCATTTTTATTTAGTAGCTGTTGAGTTATTTTGGTGCATGGTGAGATAGTATTATTGTTTTCAGGTGTGTTGTTGGTGAGTTGTGAAGTTGAGGTTTGTGAATTATCATAGTGATCAGAGAGTTTGTTAGAAATGGATGTTTTAATTGTTGTTGTGTTACTAGTGCTGCTTAGGTTAGTTTTTTTGGGCGATATTTGGGTTTTTTGTAATTTGTTTTGATTAATTTTAGTCGGTGGGGATGAAGCGGGGCGTTTAGCAATGCTTGTGGTTTCTGTTGGAGGCGTTGGT